GAGGCTGCGGTGGCCGGGAGCGGCCACTGCACTCCAGTCTGGGCGACGTTGTGAGACTCCAACTCAAAAAAAACAATAATAAAGTTGTGGGGTTCAATCAATCCAGGGTTAGGTATACAAAAGTAAATGTTCATTATACAGATAGCCTTGCCATTTTTTTTTCTGTTTTTGAGTTGGAGTCTCCATTGTCCAAGCTGGAGTGCAGTGGCACGCATGCTCATGGCCACTCCAGTGTCGACCTGCTGGGCTCAGGCGATCCTTCTGCCTCAGCCTTCCAAGTAGCCAGAACTACAGGCAGGCATTACCACGCCTGGCTAATTTTTTGAGTTTTTTGTAGAGACGAGGTCTCGCCAAGTTCCCCAGGCTGTTCTTGAACCTGTGGGCTCAGGCAATCCCCTCATCTTGGCCTCCCAAAGTGCTGGTATTACAGGCTTGAGCCACCACATCCAGCCACCATTTTAAAATATACACGTTTTGTGTTGTTTTACAGTCTTGCACTGTCATTCTGGCTGAAGTACAGTGGTGCAACCATACTCAGTGCAACCTGAACTTCTGGCTTTGAGCAGTCTTTCTACCTTTCCCTCCCAAAAGTAGCTGCGACTCAGCTAATTGTTTAACTTTTTTTGTATAGATGGAGGTCTTGCTATGTTGTCTAGTCTGGTCTGGAACTCCTGGCTTCAAGCTAACCTTCTGCCTCAGCTTCCTGAGTTGGTAGGACCATAGGTGAATGCCACTATGCCTAATTTTTAACATTTTTTTTGTAGAGACAGTGGTCTCGCTATGTTACCCAAGATGGTCTGGAACTTCTGGCCTTAAGCAGTCCTCCCTCTTTGACTTCCCAAAGTGCTGGGTCCCAACCTTTTTATAAAACTTGAAACTTGCAGAAACTAAAAGGAAGAACATATCTTTCCATTACCCAGAATTCTTGGTATTGTGTTTTTTAACTTTTTATTTTGACATAATTTCATACTTAATAAAAAATTGCAAAAATAATATAAAAATTCTCAAATGTATTTCACCTAGATTGCCTAAATGTTAACATTTTATCAATATGCTTTATCTTTTCTCTCCATAGTTTTATTCTGAGATGTTTTGTTAGTGAGTTGTAGATGGGATGCCCCTTAACCCACAAATACTTAAGTGTATTTTCTAAAAACAAGGACAGTTATTTAACAACAGTACAGTAATCAAAATCTGGAAACATTAGTAAAATATTATCTAATCTACAGGTCTTAGATTTTACCAGTTGTCCTTAGTTGATATCCCTTTTTTGAAAAAGCAACTTTATGAAGATATAATTGACATAAAATTCGCTTCTTTTTTTTTTTTTTTGAGTTGGAGTCTCACTCTGTCGCCCAGACTGGAGTGCAGTGGCCGCTCCCGGCCACCGCAGCTTTGACCTGCTGGGCTCCAGCGATCCTTCCGCTTCAGCCTTCCGAGTAGCCGGAATTACAGACGCGCACTACCACGCCCAGCTAATTTTTTGATTTTATTGTAGAGATGAGGTCTTGCCTGCCCAGGCGGGTCTTGAACCTGCGGGCTCAGGCAACCCACTCACCTCAGCCTCCCAAAGCGTGGGATTACAGGCTGAGCCACCGAGCACGGCTAAAATTTGCTTCTTATAAATGTTCAACTCTGCTGTGTTTAGCAAATATACAGAGTTGTGCTTTTATGATCCCAAAATGATCCCTCCCACCTGTTTGCAAGTCACTCTTCCACCCAGGTTCTAGGAGGCCACTAATTTTTCTCTATAGAGAGTGTTGCCTTTTTTTGTTCCCTTTTTTTTTTCTAGTTAGAGTCTCACTCTGTCGCCCAGACTGGAGTGCAGTGGCCGCTCCCGGCCACTGCAGCCTCGACCTGCTTTGCTCCAGCAATCCTTCCGCCTCAGCCTTCCAAGTAACTGGAACTATAGGTGCACACTACCACGCCCGGCTAATTTTTGATTTATTGTAGAGATGACGTCGTGTCAAGTTGCCCAGGCGGGTCTCGAACCTGCGGGCTCAGGTAATCCACTCACCTCAGCCTCTCAAATTGCTGTTTCTTTTTTTAAAGAGATGGAATCTAAGCTACGTTGTCCAGGGTGGAGTGCAGTGGTTGTTCATAGGTGCGATCCCACTACTGGCCAGCTCAGGAATTTTGACTTCCTTTGTTTCCCATCTGGGCTAGTTCACCCTGCTTGGGCAGCCAGATTGTCCCCTGCTCCCATATTGATGCCGAACTTAGTGCAGACAATGGTCAGCATAGCCCAGACCAGGGCTCAAGAGATCTTCCTGAGTACTGGGACTACAGGCAGTGTGTTGCATTTCATTATTTTGTGTGTGTGTGT